GAGAGAGAGAGAGAGAGAGAGAGAGAGAGAGAGAGAGAGAGACTCTAGTTGAACAACGAGTCAATTCGCAGTTATCGAGGTCGATGTCAGGTCGTGATCTGTTTGGTGACTGACCACCTTCAAGAAGTGGTAGACCACCTTCAAGAAGTGTCAACCTTCACGAAGTGCCAAACAGTCGGCGGTCAGAGGACTCCAGTGCCAAAAACATTCTTAGGGGACCTTGCGGTCGTGTTCAGAACATATTGGCGTAGCACTAGATGCTCACCAAGCAGTTCTGAATGTCGGTTATATCGACACATCATAAAATGCCTTACAAGCAAGCAGCGGCTGCTTGCAGGACCTTCTACCCGGTCTGGATGTTTGAGAGCAGAGTTTCGCACTCCACCGTGAGATCCACATCGGATAGGCGGACCTGCCATCCTACCGCTGTTGGCTGTAGTCATCTTGAGAGTCGATGAGGTGAGGACCCGACGATCTTCCAATTGGGACGTGCTCTTGTTTCGTGATGTGCAGGTGCTTACAGGCGGTGCATTCGATCCCCTCCTCGACGTGAAGCAAAGTGCGAGGGAATTGCTCAGGGCTCACACCAGAAGTGCGATTGAACTCGCACTTTGATGGAGAAGCAGTTGCGCAGTCCATCAGCGCGACGATTTAATATGGACATTGGCTTGTCATTTCTATATCACAGGTTAAAAACGCCATCAAATCTTTCTGTGTAGAAGTTTCATATCCATTCATACAAGTATCTTTTGTCATCGCAAACATCGAGATGAAAACATCTCAAGTCAAATTGCAAAGCACACAGAGACATCGCAAACATCGAGGTGGAAACATCTCAAGTTGCGCACTGTTTTTCCAAAGGTGAAGTCTCAGAGCAGACGATCAGTTTTCAGAAACCATTCTATGCAGAAAATTCATTCAAGGGCAAATTGCAAAGCACAGAGACTTTCCAAATTGAACGCAAAATATCATACAATGCCACATTACGAAATGCACGGAGGCTTTCCAAAAATCATAAAGTACATGGAGCCAAAGTGCGAATATGTTCTCATTTCCCATATGGAACCAAAAGTTCAGTGCACCGCTGAATCCGTTAAACAACTTCAAGCACAAGTCAAATTGCAAAGCACACAGAGACATCGCAAACATCAAGGTGGAAACATCTCAAGTTGCCTAGTGTTTTTCCAAAGGTGAAGTCTCACAACACACGAACATGTACCAGAAACCATTCAATGCAGAAAATTCATTCGAGAACAAATTGCAAAGCATACAGAGACGTTTCAAAAAATCATTGAACGTGAAATATCATACAATCCCACATTGCAAAGTGCACGGAGGCTTTCCAAATATCACAAAGTACATGGCGCCAAAGTGCGAATATGTTCTCATTTCTCACATGGAACCAACGGTTCAATCACAAATGTACGGCATCCGAAGTGCGAATATGTTCACATTTCTTATACGGAAACAACAACCAACATTTCGTGGAGAGCACGAGATGTATTCCGGGGATAACAAAATTGGTGATCACTCAGTGCACCGCTGAATCCGTAAAACAACTTCAAGCACACATACATTCTGACGACAATTGGTTTCCGAATGGAGAACTAGTTCGCAACTGTCATAAGGAACCAACAGACAGCATTCAATGGAGACAAGCAGAGGGGGTGAACCATAAAACGGGGCGGCACACGCAGAACAAGGGCAAGCCAAAACATATGAAAGTTGGGTGGTCGGGGTGGGGCGGGGGAGAGGGGCTTTCACACCACAAAGTCTCGCGAACGAAAGAGATAAGCACGAAACAATTTGGCGACCAAGAATAAATCGTCGATATCTTTCACATGAGCAAGAGAGGAGCAGAACCTCGAAACGAACAAACGCAGCACGGTGTTGCCGCGGTCTAAGAGGACATAAGGAGAACAACCCGAAAATAAACCAAAGGAGCACAAAGTTGGGATATTCTTATCCGATATGTAAGCGTTTACTTAAAAGGAAGTGCACGACGTGGCTGAGATATTTACATCAGCATCTAAGCTTCTGCTTTACGTAAGCGTCCGCTGCTATCCACTAGCAGATGTTGCGCGGCAAGCAATGAGAACAACCCTAAAACAAACAAAGGCAGCAAGGCGCTGCCGAAAGTCCTACGAATAAAGATGACAGGTTCCACGAAATGAAAAACCCTTTAAAAAATTGGTACAGCACGAGGCTGGGATATTCACATCGACACCTAAAAACGTCCTCTGCAATCCGGTACCTCATCAAAACAGCAGTACAGCTCGAACCGGCTGACTGCCAGATGAAGTGGGAATAGATCCGCACTTCTGCTTATGGCCTTCGGAAAAAAAAACTACGCGTATTTTAACAACAGGGGTATTATTTAGAGCCTTGGAGTATGTCCACCGCAATCCTCAGTCAAATGTTTGGAATGTCGCTTTGGGCTATCGGAAATGGTGGCGGACAACCGCGTGCAAGAAATGTAGCGAAGGCGAGCATGAAAACACTGCAGCTCGACCCGTCCGATTCTTGAGGGACACCACGAACAACCACCTTCGGCTCCTGGAGATCCACTTTCGTTTTTGGACCATAATGACAAACTGCTTCGTCACGGAGGTATTGCATGAAGTTCGCAATCACATCGGAAGAAAAACCGCCATCGTCTTGTACGAGGGAGTCGTAGTACTCGAGCCGTTGTTCTCGGAGACACAATAGGGTCCAATGCACTCCATGTTTATGGACAGGAATCAAGACCAACCGTGCGAGAAAATATTCACATCTTTTGTCCATCTTGCAACCCTATCATGGCGATAGCCGCCACAGACGAGCTTGGTATAGAAAAATTGACTGAAAATGTAAAGAGAGGGACATCTAGGCAACGCAGCGTTCGCAAGCAAGGCCAAGTACGACTCCACCACCTCGTCGGAAAGCCATTCCCTCTGAACAAGAGTTTGAAGACTTTTTATGCTCAACGGAATTGAATTGACCCCTTTGCGAACCGAGCACACCACCTCGTGGCCATTGCTGTAATCTCCACAGATGTTCCGCAACATTATCAAGTCCGTAGCGCTAAGCTCCTCAGTAGGCAACGGAACGCGAAAACATGATGTAGCCCCAGCTGCACAAACACCCACGAGCAAGTGTGAGGAGTGAGCACAAACCCCGTGGTGGAATAGCTAAGAATTGTCTGCCCTTTTCCCAGAAAAGTTATATCCCCGACTGTTGAATGTGTCCTTCGCGATGTACTTAGCACACGGGTCTTTCAAGACACCCCGTTCGCTATCGTCATTAGACCCATCAGACAAAGCAGTAACGCTCTCAATAGACGCAACCAAATGTTTGCGCAGACCTTCCTCCTTATCTATTCCGCAAGCCTTCAGAACCCTGACAGTTCTCTGGGAAAGGCGAGGCATCTGGACCCTTTTAAACAACCCTACACTTGACGACTTCTTCGGTAAAGCGGCCAATGACCTCCCTGAAAGACGTTTCTCGCGCACGGCTTTTAAAGGCTTCATGGGCAGGGATATTAACAACCTCACACCTGTAGAACATAGAAAACAACCCACAACCCACAAGCTTTTTTTAACCAGTGGTAATAGGTACATTAGCCCATGACATCAGTTTGGACGAACACATAGATGGTTATTCACAGATATGCGAGTGGTCCTATTCACAAATCTTACCGTGCTCGGGAGCCCTTTGAGGGAACTCGCCCTCTTGTCGCGCCACTGCGCGAACGTCCACGGACGATTCGAGGTTCTGGACCTCGGCCACGGCTGTGTCGCTAACCAGCTCGGTGGCAGCTGAGTCGCTTGGCAAGTCGATAGCTTCATGAAGCACTATTTCCCGACCAGTACTGAGGACAGATGCTCGATCACCCTGCTCGGCACCACAACGGGTGGACGGAGAATCATGATCTTTCTGCTCTAGATCCATCTTGATGTTGACGGTCACCTCACCGCCTTCCACGGAGGATTCGACGTTCTGCATCTCGGCCACGCCTGAGGCGCTAACCAGCGCGGTGGCAGCCGAGTCGTCACCCAACTCTATGGCTTCATGAAGCACCATTCCCCAAGCGGTGCTCAGGACAGACGCTCGACCACCCTGTTCTTCACCGCAACGGGTGGGCGAAGAATCACCATCTTTCCGTTGTGGATCCATCAGGATGTCAACATTCACCTCACCGCCTTCTACCATGGGTTCTCCTTCACCATGAACCCGAGCTTCCACCGCGGGTTCTTCTTCGTCTTCATCGTCGCCAAGAACGGGAGCTTGCACGGACGTCCACTGACCTCCCTTAACAACACCCTCCCTCGTCGTGGCCACAGCCGAGCGACTGTGCAGAACCTCTTCGGACGTCCCGATCAGCAGCGCTCGTGCGTGGAGCCACTTCACGTCTTCACGAGCCGGCCCGTGTCGAGTCTCCTCTCCCCGCTGTACAGCATGCGTTTCCCCCGGAGCTCCTACACTCTCGCTGTCATTGTTCACGGACGCACCCTCCGAAGCATGACGTTCACACTCGCTACCCCCAGTCTCCAACACTTTGCGAGACTGCCAGCGTTGAGTCTCCTCTATTCGATGTACAGCACGCGTTCCCGGAGAGCGTTCGTCTTCCCCAGGAGAGTGACGTTCGTTCTCGCTACCCCCGGTCTCCAACACTCCTGGAGCGGGCCCCTCTAGCGCGTCGCGAGATCCCCAGTCTCGAGTCTCAACACATGAGAAAGGAGGCGAGCAGGGCAACCCTGTGTCCAACTGAAGATGCGCGGGCCAGGACGTCACATTTTCTTGGCCCCGCGGAACTGTTGCGTGAGGAGCACTTATGGCAGAGGGCGATGTCAGCAAATCCGAATGTATTCGGAGTTTGTGGCGGTCGCCCGAGCCGAGGGAACCGGAGGTCGCACCTTTGCTCCTTCGCAATGGAGGCATCCCGCCCTCCAGGCAAAACGAAGACATGCCCTCTTTCAGGAGCAAGGTGTTGAGCACAGGAGACCTCTGCTGCGCACGACAGGATGGACTCTCCTCGGCAACGGAAAACAAAGTCCTCGCAGACAAGTGCGAATCTACTCGCACTTGATCAGACGTCAGGGTGGCCTCGTCTCGCATCTCGGAATCTCGACTCCCTACGCAGTGAGGGTTAGTTTCCATATACTGGGGACTCCCGAACGTTCTACGCTTTCCGCCCGAGTCCTTTCCGCCTGACCCCTTTGCAACGAAAACAAACTCCTCGCAGACAAGTGCGAATCTACTCGCACTTGATCAGACGTCAGGGTGGCCTCGTCTCGCATGTCGGAATCTCGACTCCCTACGCAGTGGGGGTCAGTTTCCATATACTGGGGACTCCCGGACGTTCTACGCTTTCCGCCCGACCCCTTCCCGCCCGACCCCTTCTCGCCAGACCCCTTTCCGCCCGACCCCTTTCCGCCGGACGCCTTCTCAACCGACGATGTCTCGCCCGTCCCCTTTCCGGCAAAGTGCGAGCCGTCTCCTCCGCCACCTCCGCCGTCTCCTTCGTCTCCTCCACCACCCCCTCCCGGATGCTGACCGGCTGGCAGAGGTTGTGGCATGCGCCAGTCAATGCCACGAGACGGTGTCGTTTCGAGTGCGTAGAAAGGCGCTCGAAACTCCAACATGTTGTTGGCGTACAACTCATGTAGCTTTCGTTCTGCATACGCATCCATGTCCTGATCGTTCCTCTCGGGGTTCATAAGACTCAAATGCTCCACCAGAGCAGTTCTTGCCTTTCTCTTAAATGCACCGGCTCCCAGTCTCTTCAGTCCACTCCACTTGCCATCGGCCTCCTTTATTGCCATGACCCATATTCCATTCCTCACAGCAGGTTGGAATATCCTCGGGTGACAGACGACGTTGTGTTCACAGACATCCTCCGACGTGAACCGGTGATGCTTGCCGAAGAAGTAGAGTCTGTCATTCTGCCAGGTGTCATGGTCCACAGGGAGCCTGTCACAAGGTTCGTGATCATAGTCTCTCTCTTCCTCCYCGTCATCAGACGATTGGTCGTCGACTGGTTCGCCCCGAAACACACGCTTCAAACCGGCAGGGGACGTACTATATCTCCGAGGGCCACCTTCCTCTTCATCACCAACTTGTCCAACCACCCGAGGAAGTGGCATGGACTCGAAATCGAAGGTTTCGGAGTCGCTCAGCTCCTCCATGTCTTCAGCGTCGAAAGGGTCCTCCTCGTCAAACTGTGAGTAGTTTTCGAGAGTGAGCGGTTCGGCCAGCGTGAAGTAAACATGCTCCAACCTTCTCAGGAAGTGCGAGACAGACTCCCTGGGTGCACCGTGGTACCCATTGAGCACAGCGAACACCAGGTTTCTCCGTCGACTGTGTTCGAGGTCGGTCGGACCAGGCAGTCCGGGTCCGAAAAGGAAGTCCCAAATGTCCGTTTTTTTGTTCCCCGGCAATTTCCAATACATGTCACGTTTGGGATCCCAGTTTCGTTCGCCGGTGGTGCGGGCAAACTCGCAAGCATTGCAAGAGTCTGCGACGCGTGCCTTCACGAACTCGTGAAGGTAATCGATCATCTTCGCCTCCTTCTCCAATGCGACGACGTTCCGACCGGTGCGCAGGAGTTCCCACACGACAGACGCATGCGCCTTCCCAAAGAAAAAAATAGTTTGACCAGCTTTGCAAAAGTTTACGAGTAGACCAAGTAGACGGGACGGGTTCCGCTCCATCTCCCTGTAAGAAGGTCCTTGAGAACTTGTCACGCCGCCGTCCTCCCACATGCTACGAGAGAACCTTTCCTCTTTCGCCACGTCGAAACACGCCACAGCCTGTCCTGATGGGTCCGAGGAACAGACAACTTTCGAGCGGCCCGCCACCGTGTGTTTGGCCGAACTTGGACCATGAGCACGGGAAGCCTTTGTCGGGCTACTGGCCGGGTAGACTGCGAATGTGTTGTCTTCCAGCTTCTCGCCATTAAAAATCACGTACAGGCGGTCACACTCCTCAACCAGCATATTGCCTTCCCGAACAGTGGCCTGCTTTTGTGCATTACATACCCACTTCCCTGTCCTGACGTGATGGACGCTAAGCCTGGCCATGCCTTTCAAGAAACTGAGCTCCCAACGAGAGGAGAAAAATATCACAAGTGCCCAGTGCGTTGGTGAAAGTGTTTGTAGAAGGCCTTGCAAATTGGCGAAATCGTCTTCTCGCCAGTCTGCGAGGAGTGTGGGATCACACAAATCGAGGACGTACATGTTGCACACGTAATGTCGCACAACCTCACGGATCGCAGTGACATGACTGTGAGCTTGGGAAGGCGGGAAAGCGAAAGGAATAAGGCTGGTCACCCGGTTGAGGTCGGGCCATTTGATGTGCCTCACATCCCCGCTGACCCTGATCGTGTCTCGAACTTCTTCTTCCGTCCGTCGCAAGATGGAACGGACAGACTTTTCGAAATATTTAGGAAACCTGTCATCATCGTACAATCTCTTCGCGTCGTCGATGGACTCCTTCTCGTGCGGAAGACTACGTTTGCAAGTGTTCACGTACTCCACCGCGCCCTGGAAACGCTTTCGCATTTCGACCCACACCTGTTTCATGAGGCCCTGCGGCCCGAACTCCTCCAGAAGCTTCCCCTCGCTCCTAAAAAATGGGCTCCCGTGGCGCCAAACACGTTCGTTCTCCTGCGTTTCAAGGAACAAGATGCAGTGGAACATACGGAGCATCACACGGTCCACTTTCCTCGTCACGACCATGTCTTTAATTCCAGGTTTATGCTGACGCTTCAGATGGCCGCCCGCGGATTGCACGAACACTCCCCTTAGCGCGAGAATGTCGTTAAGGATCGACAGTTTCTTGACATCGGTCATGTCGGCGAGACACTGCCAACAGAACATGTCTGGCTCCTTCACGACCACAAAAAACTTGTCGTCCGCTTTCGTTTTCTTTTTGGTAGGAGGCGGAGGTACCAAGACAAGCCACCCCATCTTCGTTTCACCAGCCGTCCCTTTCGAACCCATTTCCGGAATTGCTTGCAGACCCGGAGATTTGTCTGGCATGTATTTGCCCGGCCTCGACAATGGCGTCTTGCCGTCGCCGCCCAACAACTTCCCCTCCGCCCATTTCGCGTAGAACTCCATAGCTTTGCGGAAAACGTCATCCGGTCGTCACGAGCGGCATCCACTGCCTCAATGCATTGCCAACGGCAGCGACATACTTCTTGTCGGCGAGCGATTTATCTTTTTCTGCCAACGACCAGTGAGCTTCGTTCGGACTCATTCCCAAAATCAGCTTTTGGAAATCGAAAAACTTTTGCTTTTCGCCCTCCTTGCCGGAAGGGTTCCCTTGAATGGTCATCGGCCTTCCTTCTTTCTCCCATGCCTCCCGTATGTCCAAGAACGCGGCCTTCTGCGATCGCTGCTTAGACCTCTTGTGTCTCGTGTTCTCGTTGAGACTGACCTGCCTATAGCCCGCGAAATCTCGCTCGGAGAACCACACCACTCTCGCCGGCCACGAGTGCATCTTCCACAATACGAATATTGGCTCACCCTCCAACTCCTTCACAGCAGCCACGGTGTGTTGTCCGTTAACAGGGTAATAGTAGTACTTGTCCTTGTCCTCTGGCTTGAAGACATCTTTGTGAACCCTTTCAGCTTGCTTCGGCCTACGCTCCACCGACTTGTGGATGGGTGCCAGAACCAAAGGGTTTTTCGTCCAGATCTTACCCCTTTTCTCGTGGAATTGACGCAGCATCGCAGCCTTGATGTCGTCCACAGTTTCGCGATTTAGACCGCGGTGGTTGTAATATCTTTCCCAAGACGGGATGTCGCAGACCTTCCTGGGGTTGATGAGCAGTTGGACGGGGAGCTCCTTCTCCACGATCTCACCGCCATCGTTCCGCTCGTATTCGAGCCAGAACGCTGCCGCTTCGTCGCACTCCTCACCGACAGGCCGTTCGCCCCCGCTCGCCGCCTCAGCAGTCTTCCACCTTCGACGTTTCTTCTGGCCATCGCCTTCTTCATCTGCCACTTTCCGTTTCGATTTCCCCGAAGGTTCTCTCGCGGCCGCAGCGCCTGGATCAGCCGAATCTCCTCCACCCGCGGCTTGTCCTTCGCGGATAGTCAAACCGTCGGGCCTCCTCGCTTTCTTACTTGCCGTCCCACCCTCTTCCTTCGTCGGCCTCTTTCCCGAGGCACGTTCTCCGTCGCCACCTCCATCCCCGCCCGTCACCGCCTCCGGTTTTCCTCTCATCCTCTTCATGCGGAGGGTTCCTTCCGCCACCTCCTCTCGCACCATCCTCTGTCGCTCGCTCTTCTTCTCCGAAGGAGTCTGCTCCCCGCCAGAGCTTCCGCGGACAGCGCCCATCCCTTCACCCTCATTCCCTCCAACATTTAGCCTCGATCTGCTTGAATCTCTTCTCGTCTCATCTCGAAGCGAATACGTGTCGGCGCCGCAGCGGACCTTGATAAGTTTCGGAGTACCGACCCGTTGAGTCCCTGTACCCTAAGAATGCAAGTCCGACGTGTTCCTAGGAGTATCCGGGCTGACCTGCGTGTGAATGCTGCGTCCCTTGATCCGACCCCGAGCGTCTTGAATCGGACTCCCGCGCCCCATTGTTGTACCTAGAGTTTCTTGAGCCAAGCCGGACGACCCCTCACGGGGTGGCAGAAGCAGAAAAACATGCTCTGGCGGAAGAACCGGACGTTCTTTCGGCACCATCAGCGCGAGATCGAGATATTGCTCTGGCGATCTAAGACGCTTGTTGCTGCCATCGTAAAGGCCTTTGAAGTGAGAGCACAACGGCATGTTCGAGTCGTACCCCGCGAAACTCTTGATGGTCACCAGCACACTTTTAACACCTCTGATAGGCAGTCTGCACTCGTCGTACATGCCGTTAGTGTGGATCTTGAGGAGACCTCCGGGAGTCTTCGCGCACGAGACGACGGTACCGAGAGGAACAACGTTGACTGCTCCCCCAACGTCTGTAACGCAAGTGGGGCACATGAAAACAGCTGGCCCAAAAAGGTCCCCTTGAACAACGAAGTCCATAAACCATGGTGCTCCCTTTGCGTGCATATACTGAGTAGGTTGCTGTGCAGGTCGTCCCTCCCCGGGGGCAGATGGTCCAGCGCTTGTGGATGTGTTCTTTGTGGACGCCATTGTATTCCCACCTATTGACGAGCACGCCCAACCTCAGACCAACTCGGATGACTAATACACCCAACCCGAGACCACTACAGAAGCGAAGTGCGAACTAACTCGGACTTAACGAAATGGAGGACGAAAAGGACGTAAGAGATGGGTGTTCGAAATGCACACGAAGTCACAACAATCGGGTGAAGGATAGGAAAGACAGAAGTTCGGAGGGAAGACAATAACTGTTCGGAAAGATTGCGACCCAACTAAATGCCCTCGAAACGAGTAAGATGTGGTTTATCGACAAGTGCAAAGGGTGTCGACAAGTGCGAACTAACTCGGAATTGTGGAACTGAAGACTTGAAAGACGCACGAAACGAGTAAGATATGGTTTATTGACAAGTGTGAATCGACAAGTGATAACTAACTCGCAGTTCTGCTGACAGGACAACAATTGCAACCCGAAGTACAACGGGAAAGGACAAATTGACTCCGAATTGTGGAACTGAAGTCCTGGTTTATCGACAAGTGAGAACTAACTCGCAGTTCTGTAGACAAGACAATAACGACGATGCGCAGCACTAGGGGAAAGTACGAACTAACTCGGAATTGTGGAACTGAAGACCTGAAAGCCGCACGGGTTGGGTTGTCAACACTCCAGCAGTGTTGCTCAAAAAGTGCGAACTAACTTGCATTTGTGGAAATAAAGAACTGCCTTTAATGAAATATGTGTCTAACCTTGGGAAAACTGCGAATAACCTCGCAGTTGTCACTCCTCGAACACTATACGTCGCAAACTGCGAACTGACTCGCAATATATCTCTCTCTATATATATAAATATATATATATATATATATATATATATATATCAGGTCGGCGACCTCACAAGGGACATGTGAGCGAAAATCGGAAATTGATTCGGTGTTCAGTGTAGCAATATATCTTTATATATATATATGTAGATATCAGGTCGGCGACCTCACAAGGGACAGGTGAGCGAAAATCGAGAATTGATTCGGTGTTCAGTGTAGAAACTAGGTATTGATTCGGGGTTCGCCATGCGCATCGACGACTCCAAGTTGCGAAGGGGATCGAGCAGCTTTATACGAACGTTATCGTGGCTATGGCGAAAGGTAATCGAGCTGCGGAACGCGGATCGGATATGGCGGACGGAGGTGGAGGGTGGAGAAAAGAGATCAGAGCACGTCCACTGGCGAACCAACAAAAACGGGAATTGATTCAGGGTTCAACAGAACGCGGCTGCGGCGTTATATCCTGCAGGTACAGACAGGGCATCTGGGAATGTGTTCGGACATCGGACACAGAATAAGACAACTCAAGTTATATGATTTTACCTTTGTCGTGCATTGAGCGAGCAACCAACCACCATACTAGCTATGGTGGAGGGATATCGAGCTAGGAAGAGCGAAGACCGAGGAGCGAAGAGCGAACCGAACACAATGTGGCAACTGTGGACGGAGCGAAGAGCGAAGAGTGAGCGGGCTATGGGGGAAGGTGGTGTGGGCTGAAGACCAAATATCAGAACGCGCGCAGAAGTGATAGCGCGACTTGATCTGTGGAGCGCCAACAAAAGGGATAACTCAAGGGCTACAATGCCTTTTATACTTTGTTGCAGCAGGCCTCGCGTCAAGATCAAGGTGGGGCCGAATCGATTCGTATATCGCACCCCTGGGCCCATAAAACGCCATCAAGGTGGGGCCGAATCGATTCGCGTATCGCACCCCTGGGCCCATAAAACGCCAGGGCCTATAAACGGTAAGGGGTACCGAAAATTGTCAGCCGTCGATCAACAATTTTCAATTGCGCAGATGAACGGAGCCACTGTTATGCCAGTGGCCCCAAAATCTCCGTCTACTCCGGCGTGCAATGATGTGACAGTTCCCGAAAACAAGGGGCAGGCAATGTCATTTTCGCAGTTGTAATCTGGACCGCCAATCGGCATGATCCGACGCACGAGGTCAGGCGGAAGATTCTATAAGGTGCGGCGATTCGTTGTGCGCCGAGGCGGTTCGTTGCGCGCGGAGGCCAGGCGACGGTTTATTTCCCGCCGAGGCGCGCCGATTCATTGTGCGCCGCGGTAAAAAACACTGGAAATCTATAAGTTCCGTTGTCGCTGTCATTCGGACATTTTGCAAATGTCAATGGCGTTCGATATCGATGCGCTTAGCCATGCACCATCGTTATCGATGTGCTTAGCTCATCGTTATCGCCAACGCTCGCTATGCACCATCGTCATCGATGCGCTTAGCTCATCGCCATCGTGACGGAAAGCTATATCCCCCATTGCAGTCGTCGCGCTCGCCTGACCATCGCAGCGCTAAAAATCGCCATCGCTCTCATCGCAGCGCTGGCTATCGTTGCGCCATTGCAACGCTGGTACCATAGCTGCCATCGCAACGTTGGTTCCATCGCTGCGCCATCTCTCAATCGGTGCGCCATCGCTATCGCTATCGTTGCCTTCGCTATCGCTGTTCCATCGCTGCGCCATCCCTATCGCTGTTTCATCGCTACGCCATCGCTATCGTTGTTCGATCGCTGCGCCATCGCTCTCCACCAGTGCGCAATCGCTATCATTGTTTCATCGTTGTCATCGCTATCGCTATCGCTGCATTGTAACGCATTCCATCGCCGCTCTATCGCTCTCCACCATTGCGACATCGCTCTCCACCGCAGCGCTGACCATCGCTATCGAAGCCCTCGTCAGTGTTATCCCACCTCAGCGCTGCGCGATTTCTCTCTCCATTGCCGCACGATCTCCCTCCATCAATGAGTGATCACTCTCCATCTCACTCCATCACTGCGCGATCCCTCTCGACAACCGGGCAACTGCCATCTCTGCCCCAGAGGCTCTCCATTACTCGTGCACGATCCCGCCATCGCCATTGTATTGTTGTTTTAGGCCGTCCTCGGTGCAGCCGCCCATCACTGTGGAATCGGACGAAACAGGTGACAGGTATGCTTAACGAAGGTTTAACTCGATGGAACTGATGTTGTGCAATAACAAATCTTGGTCATCGCCAACCATTGTTGCGCGTCCTCTCTCCATCTCTCTCCACCGATGCGCGATCTCTACCGACTTTTCGTCATCTATCCCCATCGCTCTGGTATCTTTCCTAATCTATCTCCTTCATCATCCATCTCCTTCGGTGCACTATCTTTCCTAATCTATCTCCTTCGTCATCTATCTCCATCGCTGCGCTATCTTTCCTAATCTATCTCCGTCGTCATCTATCTGCTTCGGTGCGCCATCTTTCTCCATTGCTGTGTTACCGCTAACCATCGTTGCGCCTGCTATCTCCACTGTTGCGCCATGTTTCTCCATCGGTGCACAATCTCTCTCTCTCGCTGCGACACACCTCCCAATCAGTTCCCGATCTCTTTCCCTTCCTGCGCCATCCAACTTCTTCCCCGGAATATAGAACGCACTTTCATTATAGTTGTCTTTAGACTGAAAGATGACCCGAATTCAGCTGTAATGACCGGACGTTGTATTCGGGGGAAGACTGTGACTTCATCCATCTCTCTTGGTGCGCCATCTCTCTCATTCGGTGCGCCATCTCTCTCCAAGTATTTTCATCGATGCGTCGTCTGCCCATCGCTCCGTAATCTTTCTCCATCTAAAAAAATAGCACGCCATCTTTCCCTATTTCTCTCTTGCGGCGATCTGTAACTCGTACTACACGCAGAACGAGTCAGAAATAACTTGCACTTGTACCCGCAGTTTCGTAATGGAAATGGTCGTTTACAAGTGCGAATTCATTCGCTCTTGAACCAACCAACCCCTTAATTTGTCACTGTTTAGTCCATAGGTCAGAACGAACTTGCACTTGTACCTCCAGTTTCATAATGAAAATGCCCGTTTGCAAGTGCGAATTTATTCGCTCTTCAATCAACCATCCCCCTAATTTTCTTACTCTATAGTCCAAAAGTCCCAGTTTCATAGTGGAAATGTTCGTCTGCAAGTGCGAATTTATTCGCTCTTCAACCAACCATCCCCCCAAATTTGTGACTCTTTAGTCCATAAGCCCCTGTTTCATAATGAAAATGCTCGTTTGCAAGTGCGAATTTATTCATTCTTCAACCATCCATCCCCCTAAATTTGTTCCTCTTTAGTCGATAATTCGCGTCTCTTCTCGGCCGAAAATAATGAAGTCCTTTTGTATTTGCGAGTTAACTCGCCACTGAACCAACCACGAAGGCAATTTCTTATTGCACGGCGTAATCGAAATGTTCCTCTAAAGTGCAATTTTTTTGGCACTTGAAATTTCTCGTTGTTTAGTGGTGTTCGCTCTTGTTCCGACCATGAACTTAATTTTCTACTATACGTTGAATAAGTCCGAATCAGCTCGCATTTGTACTCTCGCTTGAAAAACTGCGAGTTTACTCGGACATATCCAAACCACTTGCACACTGAACGAGTGGGTAAGGAGTCGGACTTGAGATACCACTTGAGCCTCACATCAGGGTTCGACAAAACGATATGGATTCAAATGTTGTTGTTCCACTGTTTTGTGATAAATGTTTGAAATGTGAGTTTGCTCCCTCTTGTTTATTTCCCTGACCTCGTCATACGTTGACGTGATTTTCTTGTTGTACATTTTCCGTGTGAATCGTCTCTTCAAATGGCTGTCCAATCCGTCCATTGTGTCACGCCACCGCCACCGTCACGACAACACGGAGAAGACGATGTTCGAGAACGTAGTTCTTGTGACAACAGCCCGGAAGCTCCCTCTGATCGGCATTGCGGTTTGAAAAGGGAGTTCTCGATGTTGATCCCAACGAATCATTCAGGCTCGTCTACGACGTCCGTCCAGCGTCGTTTTGTTCGCTTTACCGATGTTCCCGACGGTCAGCGCGTATCTACAGCGCTGATCCCCGTTAGTGAGGGTGTTCGGGATGTCGAGACGTTTCTCGGTGGGTGGATGTTCGTAGACACAGATTTTTGTGGTGTGTCCGAAATGACTGGATCAAATCTTGTGCGGACAGCGGGTAGACTGTCTGAAAGCATTGAAGTTACCCAACCCCTAGCATGTGACTACAGTCAGTCGTTGGTGGACACAGACTTCTG